CACCATAAAAAATGGTCTATTTTTACCTATCTACATCATTACTCAGTGACAGATTTTATTTTCTGTACTGTGGGTTGCACAGTTTCTCTTAATTGTATTTATGTGTGACTGCAACCTACAGAATGTAATAAAAATGCAGCTTGCTGAAATGTTATGCTCATGTGGGTAATAAAAAATTAAAAATATTATAAATAAATATGCTTCTGTGGTCTTTTTATAAAAGATGTCATTAAAAAAGGTGTAAAGAAACAAACCTTGCAATGCATTTGTACAGTTTTGCTGATTGTTTAATTTTTAATGCTTCCTGTACATAAGATGAAGAAGGAATGCAATAAACAGAACTATCCAGATTGTACTTTGATCCAGAAAATATCAACCTGGCAGGTGCAAGAAAAATAACTGACACCAATGATTAATCTGTCCTCACCAAGCAACTCATGCAGACTCTCCATCCTAAAGAGAGAAATGATTAAATATCAAATGCTACAAATCCCTCTAAAAATCCTCAGACATGTTTCCTTTCCTTGTGTAAGGATAAAACACAAGGAGACCAGTACCAAAACAGAAGGACTGTAGCTCCCCTACTATCTTCTGGTAAGATGGTGTATGTGTTAAAAGTGTTGCTTGCAAATGTAACTCAGTCTTTCCCATGCTGAAAAACGTTCCTTGATATACCTCTTAGCACCTCCCATCAAGCAATGGAGCATGAATGGTTCCTACATCCCTGAGGACTTCCTGTTTTCCCAGGTGCTATTTAGTTCGGTTAGGCTGGAGGGATCAGGCCTCAGTACGGTGAAAGGCAATCTGGTTTCACACTGGAACGTTTTCTCTCACAGATGACTCGATGTTTTCACGTTCAGATAGCACAGGACTGGAAGACTGCAGAAAACCTTGGTTCAAGAAAGCTGTACTGACAGCTCTTGCAAACTACAGAGGGCAATAAAGTACACAGAAATCATGTTGCCATTGCCTTGCAGGAGCTGGATATCTGCTTACCTCCCGAGGAAAAATATCTGTCATGGAAGTAATTTGGAGTGATGGAGACAATTTGGTTGATCTTGATTTAAATCCAGGAGTCCATAGCCAAGCCAAGTTCCAGTTGCTCTTTGTGGTATGTTATAGTTAGTTTGTGTGCCAAGGTTTTGGTAGTGGAGGGGAGCTACACACATGGCTTCTGTGAGGAGCTGCTAGAAGCTTCCCCCATGTTTGATAGAGCCAATGCCAGCCCCAAGATGGACCACTGGCCAAGGCTCAGCCCATCAGTGATGGTGGTAGCAGCTCTGGCATAACAGATTTAAGAAGGGGGAAGAAGTTACTGCAAAGGAGCAAACTGCAGCCAGAAAAGAGAGGAGTGAGAATATGTGAGAAAAAGAGCTCTGCAGACACCACGGGCAGTGCAGCAGGTGGAGGAGGTGCTTCAGGTTCGGAAGCAGATATCAACCTGCAGCCCATGGAGAAGCCCCATGCCAGAGCAGGTGGGTGCCCGAAGGAGGTAGTGGCCCTGTGAGAAGCCCATGCTGGAGCAGGCTCCTGGCAGGACCTGTGGACCCATGGAGTGAGGAGCCCACTTGGAGCAGGTTTGTTGGCAGGACTTGTGACCCAGCGGGGGATCCATGCTGGAGTAGCCTGTTCCTGAAGGACTGCACCCCATGGTTAGATTAGCTTTTACATTTTTCACACAAGCCAATCCATGCTTTTCATTGAAGACTGACTTCTTCCATCTCCAGGGTTTCCTTGGAAACAGAAGCTGATGAATTTTTCTAGGGCTCCAATTCCGCAGTGTCCTCTTGTGCAAAGTATTTACTAAGTACAAGCAACTTGAATTGGTAGAAAAGCAGGGGTTTTCTATTGGAAGCACTGAGTGGTGATTGTTTACCTGACTCTAACTGGTTAAATAAAATGAATGAATGTCGTGGTTTAACCCCAGCCAGCAGCCAAGAACCACGCAGCTGCTCACACTCTCTTCTCCCCCCTTTTTCCCCCCAACCCAGAGGAATGGGGAGGAGAAAACAAAATAAAATATGGAGGTTGAGATAAGAACAGTTTAATAATAAAGAGCAGAATGAGCTAAAATGCTAATGGATAATAAAAAGAAAGCGAAAGGAAAAAAATCCCAGCAAAACAAAATCAGTGATGCACAACCCAATTGCTCACCACCCATGGACCAGTACAACCCCATCCCTTCCCCCCAGATCGGCCCCTTCCTGCTTATATACTGGGCATGATGTGCCATGGGGTGGAATATCCCTTTGGCCAGTTCAGATCACCTGTCCCGGCTATGTTTCCTTGTGTACCTTCTCACTGGCAGAACATGAGACACAAGAAAGAAAATGTCCTTGATTTAGGATAAACACAACTTAGCAGAAATCAAAACATCAGCGTGCTATCAACACTTTGCTATTCTCACTTTGAATCCAAACACCGCACTGTACTAGCTACTGAGAGGAAAAAAAAAGAAATTAACTCCATCCCGGCTGAAACCAGCACAATGAAATACCAAGTGTCTCCTTTCCCTGCCCAAATATTTCAGACTGAATGAGCTGCCTACCTGAACTGGCACACCCTCTGGGACAGTTTAGCAGATACCGATAATTAGAGGTGCTGAGCTTTCTCCAATCCAGAAAAAGTCAGAGGGGATAGAAAGCTCATGCCACCCTGAGGATTGTGTCTGTAATCAGCTTTGCAGAGTGGAGTTCAGATTCAATCTCAGCAGTTTGTACTTTAGTTTTTTAAAAGCACAAATTTGTAAATTTAGTTTTGGTCATTTGAAAATGACTCAGCCACTGTAGATACACCACGTCCTGGTAGCTCTAAAATTCAATTCCATTTTTTTTCTCTACATACAAATTTTCCTACTAGGTAGGAAAGATAGCAATGTTGCCTAGAAGACAGCAATAAATGCTCCTACTATTCAGTGACTATTCAAGGAACTCATTGGCTGCAGTGGCAGAACAGTGACAAAGGTTTATATTGCAGGAGGAGAGGAAACCCAAGCCTTGCTGTGGATGCTGATGCCATTCAAAGCCAGACCAACCATTTCTGAGCACCTGCTTGTCTGGGCTGAGGAGTCAACTCGAGCTAGGAGCTACGTCCTATTTTGTGTGTCACTGGTGATGAACATCATTTATCCATGCTATCTCATATGCTAACTAGCTTTTACTGCACCTGCAGCTCTGATTTTGGATGGATGTATTCCAGATTTTAGACCATAAACTTCAATAACAGCTTGAACTATTTAAGATGGAAATTTTAATATTTGCACTCTGATGATTTATCAGGGAGTCAGGTCACATAACCTTTCTCTTTCCTGAGAACTGAGTTCCTCTTGTGAATAATCCAAATTTCAAATGGAAAATTTAATTTCCATACAAAGCTGTAGTTGCTGGGCATATCCTTGGCATAAAGCTCTATTTTATATTATCTGAGGACACTTGTTTTTTGTTCAGCTGTGTTCACACACTGTTTCTACTAAGTGATACTAAAAGTGCTTTTCCAGTGTGAGCCTTCCTCTAGTTCTGCCATCTCTAATGAAGAATCAGCTGAAGTATTCCTGAAATACAGAAAACCCATTAATCTTGGATCTTCAGTTAAGAAAATAAAATTCAAAGAAATTGTGATTTGTTTTTTTCTTTAGATGAGTTCTTCTAGCAGACAAATGAAACACTGTATTAATATTCCAGGTTTTCTTATTCATTTCTGACTAGTTTGCTGGGACTTCTCCTTGCAATTAACTTCTGAAGTATTTCTTAAATGCTGTGTTTTATTTACTTCCAGTAGTTATGAGATGACATGCCCTGCCCTTTAGCAGCAGTACTTGATACACATGGCTTTTTTATTTGTTATGCATAGCTGAAATGAACTGATTTGTTGCTTTTTAGTGTCCAGCTCAACAAGGCAGTGAGTCAGAGCACATTCACTTCATTAGGAGTGGAAGAAGTACAGCACGAATGGAGATACACTGAGCTTAATGGCTCAAGCTCTAAATAAATAAGCTACACTTTAAGGTTTTTTCTTATGGCAGGTCATGTAAAATGTATGAGTACTTTACTCTTGCAAACACTAGAATAGCAAAGATAACAGCTTCACTAAAGAAGCAGAGCTTTCTCCCCACTGATTGACTGAAAAAACCAGGGGTTTTGTCCCCACAGGATCTCATTGAATAATTTTGGCTGAAATTTCTGTTCTTGGCAGCTAACCTTCCAGGGAAGTCTTATGGTGCAGGTCTGTGGTTGAGTTTGGAGGGTCTAGGTTCACTTCCTTCCCTGGTTCATGATTTCCCTCACCTTTTGAAGCTGCTTCACCTTGCACAGAATATTTAACTGTTCAGCCCAGGAAGAGGAGCACTTTTGGTCAGGCATATAGCTGGGATGTGGCATGAAGGAGCAGGTCTGGACACAGGAGCAGGTATGACGACAATGAATTGAGTGCCAAGTGAATCTGCAGCCCTGCAGCATGGCTACATCCCCAGTCAGACATACAGATGAAGAAACCAAGTTTCTCCCTGTGAGAAACATCTCCTCCCTCCAGGGAAAGGTCCCCTTGCTGTGCTGGTGGGCAACAGCCCTAACATCTCCTCTTGGCAGGCTCTGGGAGCACTGTCTGAAATAAAAATGAAATCCTGTTCTTGGCCAGGAGGTTTCACTCCACTCACCATGTTATTTTTTCAAATTTGGTCTATTTCCAAATGTTGGTGTTGATATTTACCCACATTTAGCATGGGACATAGAACACTCTCTTGGTACAACAATGCAAAGAACTTTCTTCAGACCATTCACAAAGACAAATTTGGTTATTTCCAAACTGTAATATTTGCAGACAGAGCTTTACAGAGATATACACCCATTTTGAAAAGTTTTTTTCATACTGGACTTTTGCTACGAATATGTATATTTAGAAGAATTCAACTACAAATTAGTAACTTTATTTAGGTAAGAAAAACACTGACAATACTGTTCAAATAAAATATACAATGTAAAGAAAATTTCACAATTTTTACTTACTTTCTTTGTTTTGTCCATTGCCTTCAGTATGGTTATGTTTAAGTCTTCCAAGACAGATAGAACATTCTCATATTCTCCTAAGTGCTTGGAAAAATAATCTAAAAGAATAAAAAACCTCACATCACCTACTAAGGACCTGAAAAACTAATATTTCATTATATATCAGTTTTAACAAGTCTGAATTCAGTGATGGTTGTATTAACTATTGAAGTATAAAATGAACAGGAGTTACAACGAAAAAGGATAATTTTGTTTTAACTTTTGTATTATTTCTCCTCACAATCATTTCTGGAGTACTTAAAATACCAAAATCAGTATTTCAAAACATTTTCTTTCAATAAATAAGTTGCTAAATTGACATAAAATTTAAAATTTAAATTTGACAGCTGAAACAAACCTATTTTCAAAATATCTACATTTTTCTTTGTAAACTGGATTTTCAGTCTAATACTCTACTTTACAGTTACTAGCAGGAAATGAAGATTTCATATGCATGTACTAAATTTGATTATATTGACTCTACTTTACAGTTACTAGCAGGAAATTAAGATTTCATATGAATGTACTAAATTTGATTATATTGTTATAAAAATGAATAATTCTGGTGAAGCCCTTAGAGGAGATAAGATCAAGTGGGAGCCATTGTGAGTTGGGGTTGGCAGGAACCAGTTTCTCTCTGAGAAACGAGCAGACCATGAGTTGGCCAGATAAGCTTCTAGTCCCAGGTACTGTGATTATATTTTCAACAGATGCATGCAAAATACTTCTAAATGAAAATTGTGGAAATAAGAAATTGCAAGATGTCCTTGTGTAGCTGCTTAAAGCAAAGGACAATTTAACAGAAAGTGCTGGTGTAAAATCAGGGGGTATAGCTCAATCAGAGTTGAGTTACACAATAGAAGAAGGAAAAAAGTGTGAAAAAGAAAGAAATAAAGCTATATTAAAGCTATAGACAGTGTTAGCAAGGCATTTAGACATCAGATCACCTGGAAGAACACAAAAGCAACATCTAAATGGCAGACAGGAAGAACAAGATTAGATAGGAGCTTTTAGAAATAACAAATAGCAATATTTTGAGGCTTTTAAGGGGTCAGCATGAGCTTCTCAGGGGAATCATGAAAGCCCAAGTTTCCAGGAACACTGCAACATAACCTGATATTGCTGAGAGGTGGAGTGAAATGACTTAGAAAGAAAATGCATTGTGAATTAGTACCCTGGATGATTTTTAGCTACATTTCAGAGAACTGAGATAACAAAAAAAGAGCTGTATAATCACAAGCTTGAACTTGTGTTGAGTAAACTCAGTACCAGATTCATGGAGGACAAACACCCTAGTGGCAATGGAAGGATTTGAAAGGCAGCTAAAGCAGCCCATATTTAATCAAAACAGACAGTAAACAGAGTCAGAGCTGGGCTGACACCCCTCTCAGTCCAGCAAGCCTGTAAAGCCTCCAGTGCAACATCAACAGCAGTAAATCCCTTGGGGAATGAACTACCTGTCTTCCTTGGACAGTTTTAGACAATTTTGGCCAGATGCTCAGCCAGCAGGAGCTGTCACAGCCCAATTCACATTACATGAGTCTGTTGCCATCATAGGCTGAGGCGCCTCTTAGTGGGTTCTTGGCCATGGGTAGAGTGACCCTGTGGGTGAGTAAATGAGCTGGTACTCAACAGTATTTTCAGCATTTAAAGGTCTTCAACATTGCTGACCATTGGAAAACCATCTTTCCCTCAGAAACAGTCTGATTTTAACAAGTATAAATGGGGTTTTTTTGGACATTTTGTAGGAGGACTTGCAACAATATTTTTGAATTGTTTTCTGCCGCAAGCAGCACTCCTGTAAGATCAGCTGGAGGGCAAACATGGTGTTGAAGAAATTACTGACAGCCCAGAATGGGGTAAAGAAATGGGTAGCTGGCCCAAATTCTAGGTCTTGCAGGAGGGTTTCTTTGTGATGAAGGATAGAAATTGTCAAACTGCTGTTCTCACTGGCTCAAGTAGGGGGAAAGTAATGAATTTTCCTCCAGTAGGGTACTAATATGACAATGTTTTTCAAAATTCCTAAAGCACTCATGCATACTAAAGTGAGAAACTAACTAGAAAAAGTACTTCACATGAAAGGGAAATAAAATAAAAGTCATCTATCTATCTATCTATCTATCTATCTATCTATCTATCTATCATCTATCTATCTATCTATTTATCTATCCTTAGAACAGATCTTGAATCTCAAAGAATGTGAAATACTGATTAGAAAAAATATTTTCAAAGTAATTTCTGCACACAGTGAATGACAGAGTCTGTAAAGATTGCAAGCCATCTGCATTTTCCCAAGAGTTCTCTGAGTGAAAATTATATTCTGTTTAAACTACAAAGATTAAACAGAAAAAAATAATCACATGGCATGTTCATTTGCACAGGGCTGCCGCAGGCACAGATTATATTCTTGCCCAAAAAGGAACTTACCGCAGAGCTCTTCTGTGTCAAGATTGCTGGAAAGATAAGAGTACAGAAGGTTAGTGATCTCAGTAATGTTTTTTGGTTGGATTGGTAAATAGTAAGACTAAAAGATTAGCCTGACTGGAATATGAAGCCTCCCTGCCTAGGAGAGATGTGAGTGCCTGGCCCTTGCTGGCCTTGCTCTTCTGCCTTAGGGAGGCTTGTCTGAAGCAGGAGGCTGCAGCTGGAGTCCTTCTGAAACTGGTGGCAGTTGCAGCCTCCCTTCCTGATCATATTCCCAGTGGCACCTTCCTTACTTGCCAACAACCCATTTTGAAGTTCCTTGCACAGCTTTTGTCCATCACGGTGTAGAGACACTGCTCCTCAAGCCTTATACATTTGGTCCAAGTTCTGGCAGAAATCTATCTACCCACCAAAAATGTGTTTCTTTTCCTCCACCTTTCTGCTTGTACTCCTCTTCTGTGGCTGTCCTGCTGGGCAATGGGCCTCAGAGAGCTTGGCCCTCCATGCTAAGTAAGGGAAAACCCACCAACTTTCTCCCGTTTTCAATCCTCCCTGTGCAATAGTGTTCCATGCGAAGGACAGGACAGGAGGAGGATAAAACCACACATAAACCATCAGCACACATAATCTGGCCACACAAAACCATTTCACCCCTTCTATTTTCAGCAGAACTAAGTCATGTGAAAAGTATAGCTGTATTGCCATATTCCCATGTCAACGGTATATAAATACATAAATGCAAGCAAGTATTCTATACAATTCAAACCTGTTCACTTGAAACAGATTTCATCTTGATCAACTCTTAAGTGACATTTTCTCTCATACACAGTATTTTCTTTCTGAGGCCTTACTAGTAAAAAGAAAAAAGCTTTTGACCTGCAACTCAATACTGAAAGTTAGCATATTGACTTCTATCCAAGGAGCAAAAGAAACTGATTATTAAAGAAACTTCAAAGCATGAATGTCCTCTTTGAATCTTGCTGAGGGGTGAATATTGAATGGCTGATTGCACTTAGGATTTTTTCACTTATCTTTTTAATGGGATTTTTTAATTGGCCTTTTTAATAAAATGATGACACAGTACTATCTTAAAATCACTTTCACCACTGCTAACTTCCATACATCTGGCTTTTATTTCACAAGGGAGAGAAAACAGACAGAAATTGCAGGATCCTGGGTTATCACAAACTTGCATACTCAGGGCTATAAAAACTTCTGAACACTTTTAATTGATAACGTAAATAAGATTTCCCCACAACTTTTATTAACTAAGTTGACTTAGTTAAGAAATCTGCAATTGAACAAGCCAAGTTAGATGGCTGCAAATGAGACTTGCACCTGATTTTTCCAATGACCTTGGTGGCAGGTATAAAGAACTTCATAATCTGTAAGAACTGGTGCTGAAGCTGAGAAACTTAACTTTTAGGTCAACAAACTGTGTGATGGGGAAAAGTGTCTTCAACTCCTCTAGGTTGTTGACCACAGATCATCACGACATCAGTGATCAAATGTGTCTGATGAACCACTTCTGCAGTTCAGCAGTCATTTTTGGAACAGTCCAGACGTTCACCCTTTGAATGCAAACTGAAACCCTGAAAGCCGGAAAATTGCCTGAGTCAAAGAGCCTTGACAGAATATGATGATGTTAAATGACACAGCTTTGCTGTTATGATGCCTACTCTTTGTTCATTGTCCTTGCATTTTCTGCCCCTTCATATCATCTGCCCTAATGCATTTCTTAATGTACAGCTTAATAACTGTGTTTAAAACAGCCTTTCACAATGTTAACCATGCTCTCTTTTCAAATTTCATATTTAAATCCATTCTGGTCTTTGTTCTTCAGCTATATCCTCAGCACCATGATAGTGATTGAGGGAGTGGCTTGGAAGCTTTCAGCATCCCTGCTTTCAGCATGCTGTTAGTCCTATTGACAGAAGTGACACAGCTGCAAATGGACTACCAGTGAAATGGAAAAGTATTTAGGTGCTGAATATATTTTCAGTTCGAACTGGGCACCTGAATAGTGACGAAAGCAATTTGTGCAGCAGCTTTCAAGAAGCCTGTGACAGAACAGAGGAAAAGACATAAGAACATGGATATCAGTCTAACATACTCACTATTTCCTTCTCTGTTATAAATACTCTTGAGACTTCATTGTTCTTGGCATCCTGTTTGAAGGGGATGCTATTCTAGGCAGGGAAGCTATAATTTTGTGTCACTGATTATTTCATTCTCTCAGAAATAATAACATGCTGCCTCAAACACAGTTGTGAACAAACCTAGGAATTCTTTTGCTGCATACAAACAATTCTGAGCTCCCTGCAAGATGCTACAGAAACAACTGAAGAAGTTTGGCATGTATTTAATAGTACAGGAGTGAGGAGCACACCAGAGGGCTGTTTCTGTAACTCAGTAGTCAGGTTTACAGTGGGCACCTGTTCATCAGTTCAGGGGGTACATATAGCAAGGATGCTTCTGCTTAGACCTATAATCTGACAATGCTCAACATGTTATTTGCAATATTTGCTGGATGACTCACAGCCAGACACCAGCCCTCTGCTCACAATAAGCAACTGAAGCATAGGGTGCAGCCAAATGCATTCATACGTCATTTTGCTTTCTGACTACTAGATGCAGTCCTTTTACATGTCTGTGTCTAAAATACTCTCTCCCTTAAAACATGAGGTATTTTTAAAGGACTATTACACTGATCACTGCAAAGCTGATTGTGCCTATTGCTCAGTGACAGAAAAATAAGCAAATTCACTTGAATGAACTGTGGCAAAAGTGCTTATTCATGGCACCTCTGGAAGTGGTCCAAAATGTAGAACAGCAGCTGTGATCTTGTTCTGCCCACCACAATTAGCAGTGAACTGGGGGCAGCCAGGGAGGAGGGAAGGCTAAAGCTATTGCACTTGTCCACTGCTGTGGATCCACTGATCCACAACCCCATCCACTGACCTGACACATATCGTTCTCTGCTGTGAAAGGCACCTCTAGGCAGAGGTACAAGCAGAAGGTCTGCATATTTTCCCTAGACCACAGGAGGAGGCAATAATATCTCTTCAGTACAGGAATGATATACAAAGTATGGACTCTGGCACCTAAAGCAGTTATTTTATTCAAGAATCCAATACTATATGAAAGGCTTTATGAACTTTATTGAGTGGTATGCTGGATGGTTACAGGCTATACAGGAGGGATAGGTAGGGAAGGTGAGGTGGGGGGTGGGCATTGTACATAGCTGAGGGGTTGGAATGCATGGAGCTTGCAGTTGGCAATGGCATGGTTGAAAGACTCTGGGAAAGGCTCAAGGGACAAACAAATAACACAGATATCATTGTGGGAGTCTACTATAGACCACACAACCAAAATGATGAGACTCATGAATTATTCTTTGAGGAACTGGGTTACACCTCCAAATCAATGCCCCTTGTCCTTATGGGAGACTTCAATGTGCTCTGGCCATCAGGAGGGCCAACTGTATCTTGAAGTGCATCAGGCATGGCACTGCCAGCTGGTCAAGGGAGATGATTGTCCCACTCTTCTCTAAACTGGTCCGGCCTTGCCTTGAATATTATGTGCAGTTTTGGGCACCACAATACAAGAAAAATAATATGTTATTGGAGAGAGTCCAAAGGAGGGCAACAAAGATGGTGAAGGGCCTCGCAGGGAAGGCTTACAAGGAGCAGCTGTGGTCACTTGATCTGTTCAGCCTGAAGAAGAGGATAATAGCATGGGGTAAAATGTTTGGAATTGTGGTAGTCAAGGTAGACCTCAGTGACAAAGGTGGATATTATACTTAGTAGAGCGAATCATGGTAGTTAGAAGTAAACTTAGTGACAAAGATAAATATTATCCACCTGCATGTATCTGCCTGATTAATAGGTGACAGAGATGAATATTATATTTAGTAGAGCGATGCAAACTTGTATGTACTTGTATACCCACCTGCATATATCTGCCTGATTAATAGATCATTATTTGCCTGATTAATAGATTATTATTATAAGACCTTGAAACTATGCTTGGGGGGATTATAACAATGATCAAAGAGAACTTGAAGTTATGCCTAGGGAGGATTATAACAATAATCAAAAGCGACTTGGACCCATCCTTGGGTGAAATCAATAGAATAATAGTAATGTAATGATTAACCTATGATTAAGTGAAGAAAAGAGTATAAAATGTATCCATGTTAGATTCAGGTCGGAGTCAGATTTGGGTCTGTACCCCGACTCCCAGAGCTCTTCAATAAAAGCACCCATATAATCATTCAGTGATTATGTGTTTTCTACACTAACAAGGAGACTGAGGGGAGACCTCATAGCTGTATACAACTTCCTCACAAAAAGAAGTGGAGGGGTAGGTACTGACCATGGCAACCAGTGATGGGACCCGAGGGATTGGTCTGAAGTTGCACTGGGGACATTTAGGCTGGATATTAGAAAAAGGTTCTTCCCCAGAGGGTGGTTGGGCACTGGAGGAGGACATTGTCACAGCACCAAGCCTGACAGAGCTCAAGAGGCATTTGGACAATGCTCTCAGGCCAGGAGTTGGACTAAATGATCCTCAAGAGTCCCTTCTAACTCTGATTATACTGTGATTCTGTGAACTAACTTAATTTAGGAAATTCATTGCCATGACTATTACAGCTGGAGAAGAATAACACTTTCTTCTTCAGATCTCTCTTCATTCTCAGACATGGGAAGGATTTACTTCAGAAGCTTGAACCAATTCTTTTTTGGGTTCCATTTGCATAACTGTTTGCTAAATTTGATTTTAGGGAGCAAAGTTTGAAGCTAGTATTGCCTATTGTTAAGTAGAAGTATGTAATTTGTGACTGAAAGGAATTAAGTGTTACTTAAACTCTGCAAAGGTAACTGAATAGTCATCCATGGACAATCTCAGCCAAAAAGCTGTAAGCTCTTTGCAGCAAGAAGCCTGTGTACCATCCCACTTTAACTCAGCAAAATGAGATAAGTGCTCCAACATTACAGAGGGTGTTTTGCAAAGCAGTCCTATGTGT